GACTGCACCATCTTACAATAAAGTTGTCCCAGGAATGCAACTCAACAATATTGGCAATATCATTTTAAAGTCGTCTACTTTAAAATGTATAATATACGTCTGAATTGTCAATATGAATGAGTTAGATATAATTAAATTATTAGAATAAATTTTCACCAAGTAATAAAGAACAAAATATGTTTAATTTATTAATGTTTTATATATTTGAAAACAATTTCCGAAGTGGAAATCGAAACTTCAAAAATAAACTTATTTTAAACTTAAATTGTGGCCTATTCCCAATAAAAATAGTAATTTCATTAAAATGTCACAAGAAAATAGCTTCAGAGCAATACAGTGAACACATTTTCGAGGAAATTCTATCAATTGCAAATGAAGGAATAATAGTAAATGAAAAAGCCGTTAATATCGTTCGATAAGGTATGTCAGTAAAAAGTTCTCGTTAATTGCTATACACTGTAGTTTCTCGATAGTCAATTTTTTTTTAAAGTAACCCCTGTATGTATAGTGCAAAAAGATAGTCATGCATTTTAATAAATGCAGTCATATGTTTACAATATATGAATGGCTAAACAACTGATAATTACGTAGGTTACCAACCATTCACTCTTTGCATAATACTATTTAAATTGTTTTCAATTTCGAAATTGAAAGTACGATAAATTCCTAATAATAGAATTTGTTATCACACATGACGTTGCTTAGACAAAATTTGTATCAGAAAATATATTTTTCACCGAAGATATGTTAAAAATTGCAGTGATGGAAAATTCATTTAAAAGAAAACTAAACCTTTGCCATCATGTTTGCGTAACCGTATGGTGAAGGTATTCTCGTGAATACGAACTATTTTCAGATTCACGATTCAATTTAAATTCATTAAATTAATTTATTTTATGATAACTACATAGAGCATAAAATGAACAAATTTTAAAAAAAGTTTCTTTTGATGATTTTCAGACGTGATAAGACATAAGTATACAAACTATCTAAAGAGTACATTTCCTGATCGAGTTACTAATAGAAGTAGTACAGTATAGCCTAAAATAAACAGTTCTTCTCCGGTTCAGTGTCTTATCCGGTCCGGATGTTGGCGATTATTAAGGCTATCGTGGTTTTGTTGACTGCTCTGCGAAACAGCTCCGCGGAGGTCATCCCAAACCATTGTTTGGGATGACCTCCGATAACCACGAGATACGAAGGCATTCCGGTCCTCTCCTGCTAAATACATACTTTACCCTGCATAACGAGTTGAAGAATTCGATATTTTTCTTCGTTCTGCATCACGTGCCCAAGGTTCTCAAGCTAATGTTTCACTAAATTAAAACACTTTTTTTTCTTTTCCAATGCGCTGTAGGACCTCAACATTAGTGGCATTGTCCAGAAGTAAAGATAACTGGACTTATTATTTTATTTCTTTAAGAAGTATATATTATTGACACTTTATTACATGTTCTAAATGTGCTCATTCACGTTCAAGACAGACTTCATACCGATGTTCCAAGTTTCTCGTCATGTTATGGAATAAGGGTTGTTTCAAGCCGGCGAAGAAGACTGTAACGGCATCGTCTAATGCATCAATGGCTGGTGGTGTCCGTTTAAAAACGGCAGTTTGCCCCATCTTGCTGAAAAAATTGCCAAATTATGTGCACAACATACATTTTTCAAAAATTCAGGATTTTCATATTGTAACGCAAGAATTCTGGCGCAATATTCCAGTCTACTGGGATAATCCCGGGAATGGAATTGTTGATGTACCTGAATCACATACGAAAATGCATCCAGCTCCTTTGAGATTCTTTACCAGGAAGTGCCTTTTAAGGCAAGATGCAACGCTGTCCTTGTCTGGCTTGTGTTCGGATTTCCAAGATTCGCTTAAAAACACGTTGATTGTTATTGCTGTTGTTAAATATCCTGGGTCGCCTGAGTTTCCTTTTCGTTGGCACAATAAATTACCCATATTTCTGATTTTTTCAATAGCCTTCAAAATACAGCATTACTTGGAGAACGTGTATTAAAGTGTTGTGTGAATTGATGGCATATGTATCGCACCATTATCTTGGCCGATTCCGTATGAGCGAAAGTACTTCTCCAGCAGAAACACTTTGTCCTCTGTATTTAACACTATTTTTACACAATTAGGCCTTACTAATTAATTGTTTAAGGATTACTTGACAGGTCTCTTCTTCTTATAGTGCCGTGCATCCATAGTGCGTTGGCGAATTATCTTAAGTCTGTCTTTTGCAGCATGCAAAAGATCGCCAGTGTTTTTTATGCCTGTCCAGTTCTTTATGTTTCGTAGCCACATTTGTTTGCGACCTACTCCTCTCTTGCCTTCAATCTTTCCCTGGATGGTTAGTTGAGGGATTGCGTATTTTTTTCCCTCTCAGAATATGGCCGAGGTATCCAATTTTTCGTACCTTGATCAAATTGAGTAGTTCTCTCTCAGTATTTGCCTTTCTTAAGACTTCCTCGTTTCTCACCCTATCTGTCCATGGTTGTGGAACATTCTTCGCTACGTCCACATTTCGAAGGTCTCCAACTTATTAATGGAAGGTACTCTTAACGTCCATGTTTCCATGCCTTATAACAATATGGACCATACATAGCATTTAACCATCCTGTAGCGGAGATTAAAGGAAAGATTGCAGTTACATAGTAGCGGTTGTTAGGTACGGCATTTTATTTCTTGTTGAAGATCCCATTGGTCATTTATCATCATTCCCAAGTATTTAAACGTTTTCACTTGATCGATTGGAGCATTATCTACTTGCAGTTGTATTCTTAAAAGCGCGTTTTTCCAGCATTTATCTTCAAGCCATATAGTTTTCCTACGGTGTTTATTTTATTTAACATCAACTGCATAGCATGTTCGTTGTCCGATATTATCGCGGTGTCATCGGCGTAACGAATGTTATTTATCGGAAACCCGTTTACCTTTATTCCACACTTAGAGCCTTCCAGTGCCTCTGCAAAAATTGTCTCCACATAGAGATTGAAGAGCATAGGAGACAAAATACACCCCTGTCGTACCCCTCTTAAATTTTCAAATTCTTCTGTGTTAGTTGATTTGTTCAGTTTCACTCGTACTTTTTGATTCCAATAGAGATTTTGGATAAGACAGGTCTATACTAGTTAATTTGAGTATGATAGCGCGCAAAAAGAGACACCCATGTTTTAGTTTCAGTTCTGTTTATTTCAGGATATACTGTCTGTAATAAGCACATAATATGTAGTTGGACAAAATTTAAAATGTTTATTAAAATATTCAAGCATAGGTACGTTTTTCGTAGTAGAAAATATATAATTTTTATTAGCCAGTTTTGAAAACTAATTACTACGTCACTGGATTCAGAGTTAGAAAACAAAGTTAGAAACGATAATTAAAATTTGAAAAGTAGCTGAATTTAAAAAATATTAGTTGAAAGTTAAAATAGTGTCTACTTAATAAACTCTGTAAGCTAATATTTTTTACTCATCAAAGTATACCTAATCTGGGATACTGAACAAACGAATTATTGTCCAATTGTTTTTTGACGAAAATATGAATTCTTTTTGGCATTTATACCTTTCAATTTCAGGTAATAAATAAGTAGGTAGAAAGGTAGGTATAAAGTTTCAAAGGTCGGCGCTGGTTGATAATTGGACACAAAAGCTTTACAAAATACGTTCCAAGAGAGAAATAACCTTCGTGCAAGAACTTGACTTCTGAGATACATTATGCAGAAATGAAGAAATATTTCTATAACTAAGAAATGTCTTTGGAAATATCCGTAAAAGTTACCACGCCACAAATGCATCGTACATAGATGCTGAATAGGATCTAAATTAAAATTATTTTGTTTTACATTTTTAATAAATTAAAATATTGAAAATTATTTCAAGTACCGGGCAAGTAGTTCTAATATAAACTTTGTCCCTCATTCTTTGCAGATGTACGACATTCACGAAATATTTATTTTCTTCTTCTTCTTCGCGTGCATCAGAATTATCCGACGTTGGCGATCACCATTGCAAAGGCTTCTCGATCTTCTGCAATACGGAATAATTGTGCTGCATTCTGAGTCCATTTACGAATGTTTTTTAACCAAGAAACTTGTTTTCTTCCTACACCTCTACGGCCCTCTATTTTGCCTTTAAGGATCAGTTGTAATATTTTATATCGACTTCCCCTTACTATATGTCCCAGATAAGACATTTTTCGATGTTTAACACTCTTTAGCAGTTCTCTATCTTTGTTGACGCTCCTTAGTACTTTTTCATTAGTTTTCCTTGCTATCCAGGTATCTTCAGTATTTGTCTATGAACCCACATTTCCAATGCTTCAATTTTGTTCATGATCGATACTTTTAGCGTCCACACTTCTGCACTATACAAAAGTACGGACCAAACATAGCACTTAACCATTCTTTGCCTTAGTTCCAAACTGAGATGGTTATTGCAAAGAAATGATTAATGAATATATTTATGATGATTAATGAATATTTATTTTATTACGTCTTTTTTGTATTCACATAATACAACACAATTCACCTCCAAGTAAAGGACGCTAATTGGTATTGAAAATTTCGAGTTTTGTCAAAATGGCTGTATTTTGTTTATAACTTATTTTTGGTATTATTTAAATTTTAAATTCACTTTGGTGCTTGGAAATTATTTTCAAAAGAAATTTTTGATTTATTTATAGCGCATGTGCAACGATTCTGAATCTAATCTAGTATCTATAAGAGTTATTTTTGCGTGAAACTTTATTTTAACGTGCAAACGTTCATATTCAATGGTAATTTTATATCCTTTACATATATAAAAATTCTTATTTTATATCCTGTAGATTAATTTAAAAAATGAGTATCAAGATAACAATCAATGTTGTGTACTTAAATTAATATTTTCATACGATTCGTATAACCTCATTCGCCATCTACATGTGTTGTTTGTTTTGTAAACCGAAAGCACCGAACAACCTGAAAGCTACTAAAATAAAAAATAATATAACTTACTTTGGAATGTTGTCACAAAAAATCTTGCAGTTTTAAACATCATTTTGATCAAATAGAAACCTCACGCAGAGCCTATGTCGATATTATACTCACAGCACCTTCAAACCAAACTACTAAAGTAAAATATTTAAGCGAATGTTTGCTATCTCACGTATTTAATGGTATAATCAGAATTGGATTCATAAAATGTTTGATTTAAATGCTTGACCTTCCAGTGAGTGAATGTTTGGTTGCCTACGTTTTGTCACAGAAATTTCCAGCAGTATTGGACGACTACACTTAAATTGAGCCTTCGGCCATAGTCGTCACCACTAAATGGCTAGCGGGTTCGTTTTTTTACTTTAAATATAAATTAATATGAAAGGCAAATAAATGAATGGATTGGTGATTGATTAAATAAATTTTTGTGGTCACTTAAGTTGTATTTTTTTTATATTTTCTTGGTATATTCCGAAATAATTTTTTTAGTCTCATTATTCTTGATATTTGTTATTCAAGTTGTTACTGAGATAATTTTTAGATTAAAGTCAGAATTATAGGATAAATCAGAGAAGACCGACGTACCAAGTACTTTGCATACATTACTCAAAATAATAGATTAAAGTCATTAAGCTACTATATAGTAGATATGTATAAGACAAAATGTACATTATATTCACCTAAATATACAAAGACAGTCTACCAAGTCAATCTATACAAAATAAAGCTAATAAACGCATATTAGACGTCCGATTTCTGCCATGCTTACCACTCTAACAGATATTTTGGTTGGAATTCTTTTTGAACTCTAAATATAATCGGTTCGTTGATACCAGTCCCAACTGTCTACTAAATTAAGTAATTATTTTTGCTAAGTTGGTTAAATTTTGACCGGCTGAAATGGCCGAAAATTACTATACAACTAAGCATAAGTGCTCACGGCCAATATTAAAACCACTGATGTATTAGTAATAAGTTAAATCCTATATTAAATGCTGAACTGAAGAATGTAAAGGCCTGTATAGAGGCCAGACGTAGGTTAACAACTTTTAGAGTCTCTGAATTTTGTGTGAACGACCTTGCCCATGAAAACCAACAGGCCCTAATATCCCGACAACTAATTCTTCATCACCAAACCCAGAAGATATAGCAAAACGCATGCCTGGATTTTGCATGATACAAAATGATTATAAAAGAGCTCAAAAAGATCAAAACTGCACATCACCAAAGCTTGCCAATTATGAAGCAAATAGAGATCGAGAAATTTTTTAATTCACTGGACCTAATTAAGTCTCGCAAAGCTACAGGAGTTGAGAAAATATTGTCCGAGTTCATAAAATACTCTGGTCTAAAATTCGAAAGTGACTCCTAGATTTCTTCAACCAGATAATGACAATGCAAAAGATCTCTAAACTATTCAAACGTAAGATTTTTTAGGGGATAATATACGCGAAGTTTTTGCAATCGATCAGTGGAAAGATTCCCGTAGAAACCCAGATCACACCCCAAGATTAAAGATCTTCCCGAAGTTTAAAATTTGAGATATTATTAGACTTCGGCAAATATGCAAATAATAATGTAGAAAATATGCGCATAAATATGCACGTGTTTACCCGAAAATATGCAAATATTTTACAAAATATAGTAACAATTTTATTTAAAAAAAAGTGTACATAACTAAATATTTCCTACTATTCATTAAGATTTACATTTATTTTAAGTCACTACATCATTTTTAAGTATGAATAAACTCATTTAGAATTATGGTAACAATAAATGACCAAGTGGTGTTCAAAATTTTCTAACAAAAACTTGTGGCTTCTGTCTGAGTACATATATTTATATATGGAAAAACTTCGTTCAACATCAACTGATGAAACGGGAGCATTTTTCAAATTAACCAAAACATTTGGTTCTAAATTAATTGTTTCCGAAATATTTCCAGCTAGAACACTGACTACTTCAGAAAGAATATGGTAACCTTTATTTTTTTCCATAGTAGCTTCAAATGTTTTTAAAATATCTTTTCCAATATTACCTCTAACGTTCCGACAACATGACGCAAATTCTTTTATTAATGCTGTACTTTCGAACAATGACAGTTTTGGTGATTCTACCTGAGTAATTGTTTTTTGAACAAAACTAAAATTTGATTTTATAAATGAAAGTTCTTGTTGAAGCAAGTTACTCTGAAAAGTTTGTTTAGAATCCAAAAGAGATTGGGAACTTTCATCTGTTAACGTATCAATTATGTTCTTTATTTTAACAAAATGATCTGCATAAAAATTAGCTGCTTCTAACCATGTTCCCCATCGCGTTAAAATAGGTTGTGGTGGAAGAGGAATGTTAGGTAGCATTTCTTTATAAAGGTGAATTCTTATAGGAGATTTAAGAAATACTTTTTTAACACTGGATATCATGGTATTTACAAGAGGAAACTTTTTTCGTATTTCCTCTGCAACTCTGTTTAATCCATGCGCTACACAAGTAACATGTATTAAATCTGGGAAAAATATTTTTAAATTTTGTCCTGCTTTCACCATATAAGGAGCAGCATCCGATAAAATAAGCAGTAATTTATTAGAAGGAATAGTTGTCGGAAGAAAAAAAGTTGCTAATGTTTCTTGTAGAAAACGCGAAATTGTTAAAGAATTTGTTTTCTCAAGTTGCTGGCATGAAATAAGATGAGATTTTGGTAAGGTATCTTCTTTAAGAACACCAATCAATAAATGAGCAATATACTTTCCTGAGGAATCAGTGGTTTCGTCTACAGATATGTAAAAATAATTATCTGCAATTTCTTCCTTAATATTAATTAACACCGATGAGTATAGCCCGTTCACATTATTTCTTCTTAGACACCGATCACTTGGAACATTAAGTTTGCAATATTTTTTTAGAAACGAACTAAAATTTACATTTGCTAATTTTGAAAGCGGTATGTTTGCAGACACTAATGCGCGATACAAGTCTTCATTAAAAGTTTCTTGCTCATCTAATTTTTTTGAAGTAGATTGGAAACATTTAGCCATTGAAGTTTGATGTTTTCCTCCTATATAACTTATTTTAAAATTCAACCAAAGTTTTTTTTTGTTAATTCAATTACAATAAAAATAATTGTGTTTTAGAATAGCTGACTTCATAAAAAAAGTTAATTTGAAAAATGTTTCTAAATACACACCATTGTATTGTACCATGGACAATTTTTTCTCACTAAAGGAAGCTATTTTTCATTTAAAAACAACCTACGAGTACTAAATTTCAAGTAAATACGTTTATTGGTTTTAAAGTTATTGTTGTTATTAACTAAAAGAATTTAATTTTTTAATTTTTTTTAATTTTAACACCCTGTATCTCGAAAAGTAAATAAGTTTGACCCCTCATTAACTATATCGTTTTGTTCAATTTTTCGAGAAGTATCTACAGTCAAACGTTGTAAGTGTCATTTGGAAACACCCTGTATGTATGAAATATTAGATATTTAATAGAAAATATTAGATACTTACAATTTTGCCACAGACTGAACAGTAGATTTTTCCCATATCCATAGACAGCTCTTTATAAGGTTTAATCCAAGTTGAAGCACTGGTTGTTTTAGGCATTATAAAATCACAATCTTCCTTTTTGTTACGCACAACGAGTGTTTACGCTTTGAATATCAAAACAAAAATGATTTACAAATCTGAGCATCAAATTAGAAATGTTTAGGTACCTAATTCAATAAACTGGGAGATTTTGGAAAATCCCTAAATTAGGAACAAAACTATTAGCCGTTTACCTGCTGTTAAGATACAATAAATTGTAGATAGATTTGGGGATTAGATCATAAAATGCAAATGAGCGAACCCTTAGCGATTATCCAATAACTGAATGCCTCAGTGACCGAGACTTTCTAAGAATGTTGAGGGCTACTTAAATTGATCTTCTTTGAAATTGTAAATGTTTTGTACCTGTAGAGATTACGTACTTAGATCATTTCTTGATTAAAATGACTACAAAATTTTATACAAGAATTGAAATAAATTGGTAGGTTTAAAAATTTTCAAATACAGTATAAAAATCTGAACTTTAATGCACTTTATGCAAACTTTTATACAAATATGCCAACATATGAAATATTTGCATAAAATATGCACAATATGCAAAATATGCAATATGCATATTTGCCGAAGTCTAGATATTATACATAAAATGCGTGAAAAGAACGAACATGTTTCTGTAGAGACTCTGTAAAAAATTAAACGACATAAATACATTCGAAATTTTCAGGTTAAGTATCTGGAGAGTTTTCAAACAGATTGGGTTTAGCTTTAGGAATGGCGGTTGCTGGCAAAATACCGGTTATAGGTTATTATTACGGTTTAACCTGGTAGTTAAATAAACCAGTGTTCGGTTTTTTAATCAATAGCCAATACCCAGTAGGTTGCAGTGTTACATTTATATTGCACACTATTGCGATACTCCATTCAAATCGATATCAATATTATGGATATCCATACTATCAAAATAAAGTATCGATACCAAGATAATCAATTGATATATAAACAGCAACATTTTACCAGTAAATTTTACATTCTGGTGGAGCCATAATAAACTTAGCATGACAATATAGCACAGGAAATATAAGTCAAGAAAAAAAAATTTAATTAAATAAAAAAATATATACAGCATGATGCAAATGTATGGATTAAATTTATTATTTCAGAAACAGACGACTTTAAAAATAAATCTTAACACACGTCAATTTTAACTTTTGACTGGCCAATAACTGCCATATATTTGTTGAACGTTTCGTCATCAGTGTCGACGTAATGACGTAATCGACGATTTTTAAATAAAAACCGAGGTTACGCGACAGCTCATTTGAAAGGTCTCCTTATCGTATTTGCAACGATATAATTATTTGAATATTTATTTCTACAGGGTTAACCAAACATTTTCGATGACTTTAGGTGTAATTGTGCAATTTCCGTTCTGGTGCGCTCTTTCAACTCTTCTACATTATTCGGTCAATTTTGATACATTCTGCTTTTTAGATATCCCCACAAAAATGTCTAACAAAGTCAGATCTGTAGACCTAGGTGGCCATTCGATGGACCCCCTTCTACCCATCCACCTAACTGGGAAAACGTTATTAAGATAATTTCGTACTTCAACGCCGTAGTGTGGGGGAGCTCCATCGTGTT